AAAAAAAAAAACTAGGAGAGACCCATATTCGATTCTCATCTCCATCATTTCTGTTTTTCCTTTAAAATTTAACAGACCTTATAACAATAATTTCTATTAGTGACTGTTGAAAATTGAAAAAGCGCATTGACTCGGTCGTAGAAGTGGCATTTCTCTTCATTGAGGTCATGAGTTCGAAACCAAACATCGTCATTTCTTCTCTTTTACTAAATTTGTAAGGTTATAAATACATTGTATATAAAAAAAAAGTTTAATGTTAAAATGCTACAAAACAAGTTCGGTGGTAAAATTAATGTCTACAAAAAAACATCGCAATAATCATCAACCATATTACATGTCACTTCAAATACTAACCAAATATATCAATACAAAAAAAAATGTTTTTATTTTAACAAAATTGAAAGAGATTATTGACGACTCGCTAAAAAAGATTATTAGTAAAATCTATACGAGATCTAAAGTTTGATACCTCCTAAGTTATTATTTCTAAAATAAATATTACCTTGAATATTTATAAAGTTTCAATGTATATTAAAAATTATGATAGAGTTTTATTTAAAGAAAATGATAATTAGCCCGATACTGTAATCAATAATGCCCACTTCAAATGGACTTACAACCAAACTCATAAGTCATAACAAGAAAGCTTACAACCTAATATTATGAAAATAGATACTTGTATTATGGGTCTTGACTCTTTACTCTTTTTAGAATCATTCACGCGATAAGGCCCAACATTTAAGATAATCTACCAACTCTTTTAAATATTCCACTAGAAATGTTAAAGCATATTTTCGGACTTTTTTCGTTGGATTAATTTTCATTACGGCCCCAAAGTTTTAACATCCTTGGCTATAACTTTACGTCACTAAAAATTATTACAATAGTGAAATAAACCAAAAAGAATGTCACTATAGGTTCACATAATTTAACCACACAATTTATGCTTTTATGTCAATATAGCCAATAGGCATCACATAATGTGATACTTTTTAAATGTCACTAAATGACACTTTCCTTATGGTGATTGCATCTAAGTTGGTTGATCATGAATAAACCAATCACATCCAAAATTTTCTACATTTCATCAACGCATCTAAGTGGTGGATCTTAGTGGGAGGTTACCCCTCAATTGTTTAAGCGCAGTGCAGTGAAAAAATTTTGAAAGAATTTTTGGTGTTGTGTAATTTTCCAGGCATGTTACCTCTAAAATTTATATGTGCTATCCTTAATATTTTGTTCTATGTCCGCCACTAAATACAACAACAAAACACTATTTTCATAAAAAGTGTCAAGAAAATAAATTTTTCGTTAATTACACCAATCAAAATAAATAATTGGTAATATATCATCATCTTTATTCAGCAATAAAAACTAATAGGTTGGTAATTAGGGCTGTAAACGAACCGAACGAACACGAACGGGGGCTTGTTTATGTTCATTTGTTTAATTTAGCCGAACAAATAAACGAATACGAACGGATAAACGAATAAGTTTTCTTGTTCATGTTCGTTCGTTTATGTTCGTAAACATGCTAAACGAACATAAACAAACGAACATAAATGAACAAAGACAAACAAACATAATTGAACCTATATGAACATACATGAACATATAATATAGTAATGTAATCAAACACAATTAAGCATATATGAACATAAAATGAACTTATATAAACGAACGCAAACGAACAAAATAAACAAACGTTCACGGACATAATCGAACGAACGAGACCATTGTTCATGTTTGTTCATTTAACTAAACGAACGAGAATTTGTGTTCATTTTCGTTCATTTATTAAATAAACGAACATAAACGAACTTCCCACCGAACGGTTCACGAATAGTTTGTTGAACGTTCAGTTCGTTTACAGCCCTAATTGTAATCTAGAACATTATGTTGTGTGCCAACTATATATATATATATGGGTAATTATTAGAAGACTTAGAAGAGCCTTCAAAAAGTTTCTGTTGTAAGTTCATTTTCTGCTTCTTCGTCACAAACACTCAACCCTTGCAACTTTCCATGTCTTTTCCTTTTGTTTTATCTCTTCTTATACGAAATGTACACCACTTTCTAAAACTCTTTTGCTTCTTCCCGTATACTTCATCCATCATTATCACATTCTTTTACCCATTTTATCGATCAACAATCATTCTTGATGATTGATACCTAGGATTTTCCATGAAACAATAATTATAATTTAAATGAAACCAAGTATTTAAGAAGTTTTGAAACAGTTAAACATTAGCTCATTCAAGTATAATTTTATATATCGTGGACATGCATGACAAAGAAAATTTCAAATGAAAACAAGTTAAAAAAAACTATTTTTAGTGGTTGGCATTTGCCAAGAATATTTAATAAAAATAAATAAATAAATAAATAATAACTTGGTTTATTTAGTTTATATCATGTCTATTGGCAACGAATAACAATGTGAATTCTCAAAGCAGGAATTTAGTAACAACCTTATCAAACTAGTTTAATACCCATTTGGTGAATGATTTTACAGATAAATAAATAATCATTAACTGTTTGTATAATATAATTGTCTATGCAATTAATGATGCATTACATGGTGTCAAATAAACAATAGTTAATCATTAACTGTTTGTATAATATAATTGTCTATGCAATTAATGATGCATTACATGGTGTCTAATAAACAATAGTTACTTGAAACGTGGATGTAAAAACAATAAATCAATTTTACTTTATTTTGTAGCATTATACTTACATTTGTTCCTATTATAGTGGTAGGATGTCAAACCACCAAACAAATTACACCCTTTTTGCTTGCAAATAAAACGTAATATAATAGTAAAAATGGGATCGAATCCACGGGAAAATTGTTGTATTTTATCACCAATGCACTCCAAACGAAACAAATGAATTAAAACTAACAACTAAAACTAAACTATGGGGGTTGTTGTGATTTGTTTGAAAACACTAAAATACTTGCAATTAAGCAAGAATGTGAGATGCTCAAATATGAGAGAGAATTAGTTAACTAAGGCTATTCACCACCATGAATACTTGTTTGTTATCATTATGATTCAATATGTAAAGTTTATCATTCAATCCAAATTGGTTCTAGCAATCAAAAAACATGATATACCAAAATTCTTCAAAGGTAGTATGGAGGTTGGGGAAGCCCACAACACTCATTCTTAATCAAAGTTAAGGATCCAATTGAAGCAATTGAGTCCAAGAAAACTAATTAGCCTTAAGAATGAAGGAATAACCAATTCAAAGTGGATGTCAATGCTTACACATCCATGAATGAGTCATGACCTACAAGTTAAATGATGATTTCTACCATCATAGAGCTCTTGTTCCATACCAATTTAATGATCATTTACTTAATCAAAGAAAAAGACTAACAAGTACACATCAAATACTAAGCTCATGAATAAAAGTATTGAATAAGCATAAGAATGAAGAACTAATTGACATAACAAAAAGTTTGTGTCTGTTAGGTTAAGAAAAAAGATTATGAACAAAAGGTTGTGCCAATGTGTTGGGTGATGAAGAAGGTCGTCTCAAAAGATGGGCTAAAACTACATAAGAATAGTATTTGTCCGTGTTGTGATCAACAAGATGACTGGTGGTAGAAAGTTCTTCAGGACACGTCTTAAATTGGTGACCATAATTTAAGACGAGGGAGGTACCTTTTTTTAATTGACACAAAAAGTCGTGTAAACTTTGCATGTGATCAATAAAATAATAACCGTGGTCGGCTTCAAGGGGCACACCAAACATCACGAGTGATCTTTAGATCATGGGCTTCGGCCATGACTTCTTCATGGAGAGAATGAGATAGAGAATGAGAGGGTAAGAACACATTGATTTGCTTCTTGCCGACTAACAAAGGCAAGGTTTGGGGAGGAAACGCCATCAATTTCGATGGTTGATGGCAAGGGGATGATGGAAGTATCAATATCATCGATAAGCTTTTAATAAGAGAGAATCATGATAACTTGGTTATGCCATAAAAGGTAGTTAGAAGAAGAAAGTTTAATTGTTAACATATATATGAAGGTGGGCATAGAGAAAAAGAGGGGGTGTTAACGTCGTTGACAACCATGGAAGAGAAATGAAGTTGGCGATGATTGGAAGAAAAAGAGAGAGAGAAAGAGAGAGAGAGAGAGAGAGAGATGCTTCGATTTAGGCTGATATCATGTAGGGTTTCATACAATTCACCATGTATGTGGAGGATATCTCATTTATAATTTATAGTTCAAGATTATATAAACATAAATGTGTGTAAGATATTTGTGGAATCTAAGATTCACTCTCCAAAAAATTATTTTGGAGAAAATGAGACTCCAACCTATATAAAGACATAAAAGACCTTGTTGCATCGATGTAAGATATATTATCCCCCAACCCCACTTCCCGAGATGGGGGCTCGATAAGGTTAGACATGGATGTGTTAAGTCATAGGGATGCATATACCGACTCTAATACTATGCAAGATATAAGTGGAGTCCAAGATTGTTTTTAAAAAAAAAAAATCTTTATGAAGAAAAAGTAGAGCTCCCAACATATATAAAAAGATAAAGTACCGATATCACATATCACATAGCACATAAGATACAATAAGAATGCAAATAACAATTTTTCCATGTTTGTAGCATATCCTTAATAATGTCATTGTATCAACAAATATCGAAATTATAATCAATAGGAACATAGTATCGGTCAAATATTAGTTGAATAATGGATGTGAGGATGTTTATCATAACTAAACCAATTATATGTCAATGAATGATAACACCAAATTAGAAATAAACGAGTAATTAATCAAATAAAAAGTCAAACACATATGTTCATATATATATATTAAATATTTATTATTTATTATTGAATAATAGCCCATATTCACGCATAATTAAATCTAACAAAAACACAAATTACCCAATGAAAAAATCGTTGACCCACATCTGATTATTTACATATAAGTCTAAAATCCCATATCAAAACTAAAACTAAAACTACGAAGAATGATCATTGGTAGTAATAGAGTCTTGTCGTGTGATGGACCTTGAGCCTTTGGTGGAAGGAGAGGTCTCATCACCAGCGGGCAAGTCGGAGAGAGCAGCCATTATCCGGCGAATACTAGCTGACGGAACTGTTCTAAAGCTTGTTGCCCTAAGGCTGGGGGCAGTATTCGAGAAGATATTGGAAGAACTTGATAGAATAAGATAAACCAGAAGTTGAACAAGGATGAACAGGCCCACCTTCACAAGAGTGTCGCTATAGATTATGTCGTCTATCCCCATATTACCAGAAGAAGAAAAAAAAACCTGAAGCTTTTAGAGAGAGAGAGTTGGGAAAGAAATGTAAAATTGAGGAGAAAGGCTTGTAAACGTGGATGCTTTTATAGGAAGGCTTTGATGACTCGATGCATGTCTATATATATGATATAACTAACAAAATTGTAGAAGTTAATTGACTTGATCAATATCCTGTTATAGTATTTCATAATAAATATAATAATATTTTTGCAAATACAAATATCTTGCTATAACTGACATTGATTGCGTCCGTGGCACTTAATCTTGCTGCTGTTTTAAAATCTTGTGAATCAATTGGTTTAAGTTCGAAAATCATATAATACAGAATGGTAATTAACATAAAATAATAGTATTTTACATAGTGCGTAACGTTTAACTATTTAAATGTCACAAACTTGACACTTTTATCATTCTATATAGCATTAACGTAAAATAATATAGAATGGTAATTAAGTTAATATTATATTAAATGATCCAAAAAAATTCATTAATTGACAAAATAATTATAGAAATTATAAATATGTGTATTCTTTTAGATATAGCCCATATGGCAATTAAAATATAATAATAATAATAATCTACGATGCATTGTTGTGGAGTACAAAAGCCATCCACTTTGACTTGCCTTGTTGAACTTGACAACGTTGTCTCATGGAATCTTCTTGTAATCCATGTGAGAAATGGTTATATAAATGAAAACGATATGAATAAAGACTGATCATTTTCTCCGGTCCACAAATGATGAGAACGAAGCAATGGTCAAATTTACGCAAACAAAATTATGTGCATTATCCAAAACACAAACTATGTTTAAAGTTACTATTGAAATATATATGTGTATATGTGCAAACTGAACATTTTGTATAAGTGCAGGGGTGTAATGGTAAGTTCATAATGGCTTAATTTGTATTATTTTTGCTTGTTGGGTTAGGTGTGTATATGTGCAGATTGTAGTGGGTTGCAGCTCACTTTATTCAAAGATATTCGGGTTAACACACGGACCTTGTTAACCCATCGACCCAACTATATGTTTGAAGAGAATCCAGATTGAGCTCATTCAGATCATTCATCTCTCTGTTTGTCTCTCCCTCTCTCTGTCAAACATATTAGGGTTTCTGTTTAGGGTTCGTAGTTTTTTCATAGTTCTAAGTGAATAATCTTTTGTATTGAGTGAGAGTACCATATGATTTATGTAGAGAGGTTTCATTTGTAAGTACCTGAAAACGAGTTGGTTCGTTAATTTAAATGTACTGTTGATGTTGTATATTTTCTTGAATAAAATGTCATGATTTAGTTGCATGCAAATATTAATAAACGCAAAATAAGTGTCACTAAAGAGCAATTTTAGTTATAGTTAAAATCGAAAACATAACATATTTAGGGGTTTACTTTTTTAATAGTTTTTTTCTAACATTAATTTTTTAGTGATTATACACCAAAGTTGTTAAGTCCTTTTTTTAAATACTAAATAGCTGGTTTTGTCTTGTTGATAATTAAACTTCTTGGTTGTTTCAATTAAAGGTGAGCATAATCAGGTATCCGGCTAAATTTTTCGGAATAGGAATCGACGGTTCCCAAAATGTTGGAATCGAAACTAGTCATATTAGTTCCTAATAATTTAGAAATGTTCTCGTCGGGTGTCCGCTTTTTTAAATACTTTTATTACGAGTTAAATAAGCAAAATGCAAGTATCTAAACATTTTAGATATATAATATGTTTTGTATGTTGTAAATTTTAGTATAGATATGTATACTTTTTCTAACTTTGGACATATATAAATATATACATATGTTGTATGTACAATTAACTCTATAAGTGGTTTTGTTTTCTTCTCTGTGAGGGCTTCGAAACGATATATTGTATGTCCAAAATGGAGTATATGTGAATGAGATATCGATACTCAAAGTTTGGTATTTGAGAATAAGAGTTAGCAAGAGAGGTGGATATGCGAATGAGACCCACATTGATAGGAAGACCATACTCAAGTGAGTTTATAAGCTCGAATGTGTGATAGGATTACAAGCTTGTGTCTATGGTTTTACTCCAACTCCTACTCACGCGCAGCGGGTGTGAATCTTGGATTTCGTAGGCCAAATTTACCGAACTTCCCATGGGCGCGACCTGTGGACACGAATATAGCTCCGAAAACTCGGGCCCACGTAACCCTTTCATAATGTCTGGAACTCTTTCAGCTACAGGTACCCCTGTTGTGAACTCAGTTGCTACCACACATGTGCCAAACATCATGGCTAATCATGCTGAGCGACCTGAAAAATTTTCTGGTTTGAACTTCAAGAGGTGGCAACAGAAGATGTACTTGGCTCGGTTCCTAAGATAACTGCTCCCGTAATTGTTGAGGGATAGGTTGATGCTCAATTTGTGAGTGCAGCGGATGCTTGGAAGCATTCTGAATTTATGTGCTGCAACTATGTGTTGAATGGGCTAGCTGATGCACTTTATAATGTTTATTGTAAAGTTGCAACTGCTAAGCAACTATGTGAGTCTTTAGAAAGAAAGTATAAGACAGAAGATGCTGGTACCACGAAACATGTTGTTGCTAAGTTCTTGGAATACAAAATGGTTGACTCAAAATCTATTATGATTCAAGTTCAAAATCTTCAGGTCATTATACATGATATCAAAAACTACCTTAAGCATAAGCAAAAGGAGATGTTTGTGGAGGAACTGGTGGTGTGTCTTCGCATTAAAGACGACAATCGAATGGCTTTAAAGAAAGGTGGTGATGTTAAACCTTCTAATGTTCATGTGGTGGAAGCTAGTCAAACTTCCAAGAACAAATGCAAGGGAGCTCACAAAGGGAAATGCAACGACGTAAATTTTCAAACCAAAATTTTCATTTTAATAACACATAAAACTCGTATATTGTATTTCACAAAACCACATGTATCTCAAAATGTCAACATAAATCCACAAATAAGTCAAATCCTATAATCCTCAACATAGTCTCGAACAAGTGTGTACAATCATGCTGGCGCCTTCCCGCGGTCCTGAGAGGTACCTGAAACACATCACTCATAACACGGTAAGCACGAAGCTTAGTGAGTTCCCCAAAATACCACATACACAAATAATAAGCCTCTCATGGCTATAACTCGGCATGGATAGACCTGTAAATGGGGCGGGTTTAGAGCGAATCACCCTTGATCCAAACCCGTTTAAAAAAATAAAAACATGACCCGCCCCGCTCCAATAACCCTCAGGGTCTTAAATAGTCGAATCCATACCCGTATCCACCGGATCAATGAATACCCGACCCATTAACCCGACCCTTTTATAATATTAAATTTTCATCATTTTTATGTGTTCCAGAAAGTAATATTTCTCAAAAAGATAAAATATCTACTTAAACAAGATGTACATTAATTAATAGTCAAAGTCCAATACAATAAAAATCACATTTTACTTGGACATCGAGTTGTATATTTTGTTGTCATATATATATATATATATATATATATATATATATATATATATATATATATATATATATATTGTTGGACATCGAGTTGTATATTTTGTTGTCATATATATATATATATATATATATATATATATATATATATATATATATATATATAATGGGGCGGGTTATAAGTGGAGCGGATCGACAATGATCCATACCCGACCCATTTATTAAAAGGGTAAACGGGTATGGATCGTAAACGGGTAAACGAATCGAAAATTAAAATCCAAACCCGTAAAATTCTTACGGGTTTGGAGCGAATCAGGGTCAAAACCCGCCCCATTGACAGGTCTAGGCATGGACCCTCCGGTCTCACAGCTCGGTTGGACCCTCCAGTCCAGTATCTCAGTGAAGACCCTCCGGTCCCATAACTTGGTTTGGACCCTCCGGTCCTATCTCAGTAAACACAGAATATAGCATATATATCACACAGTCAAAATGCATAATATCATATAACTCAAGTAAGCACATAGGACCCTCCGGTCGCACAAAGATACCACTCATGGTAAGTATAGTGAGAAGACTCACCTCGTAAGTAGGCTAAGAAAATGTGTACTCCTCGAACACAAATCACCAAATCTAGCCTACATGTAACAAGCATCTCTAATTAACACTTAAAGATCACAATTCCAAATAAACCCATGATAATCCCTCCTTAGTTCCTAGGATGGGTAAAACACCATTTTACCCCTCCATAGTCTCCATAAGTCCTGCCTTGACCAAACCCTAAAGTCAACAAAAGTCAACACTCGAGTCAACTATCCATGTTCACCTGACTCTCCGAGTACACCTATGTGACTCGCCGAGTCCCCATTGTTCTTCAGAACATCGAGAAAACCCAACTTAACTCGTCGAGTCGTCTCATCGACTCGTCGAGTTACCCATATCCAGACTCATCGGGGAAAACCCTAGCCGACTCGTCGATTCAGCTCATCGACTCGTCGAGTCCCTTAAGTCAACTTCTCATTCAGATGTTTAAAGGCAGATCTACTACTCCAGACTCTAGATCTAGACTCCTAAGGTTCGAATGTGACGTAAACCTTCGATCTTTACGTGCATGCATGGCATATTTGCTCCATAATGCCACTACAAGCTCTAACTAGGGTGTTTAAGCACAAGAACTCTCTTATGGCTGGATAAAGTTGGGACCTTTGGACTCTATGGACCTCACAAGGTCCAGATATGAAGTCTAGACCTCTTGATAAGCTCAATGCACTCAAAGTCCCAATAAAAGGTGATAAAAGCCCTAACTTCCATAATCATGAGATCTAACCAATAAGATGAGAAATGTGTAGGCTTTTCACCAATAAGAAGCTCTGAACTCACTAAGCTGGTGCTCCTTGCTAGATAATCTCCTCTTCTCCTCAAAAGATACACTAGAATACTCAAGGATTAGCTCTATAACTCTCTTAGCTCACTACAAACGTTTAGGATTTCACATAGGGGAGTTGGGCAGCTGGTGAGGCGGAAATGAGAATAGCTTCTTCCATTTCTTGAAAA